TACTACCTGTTCCGAAAACATCGGACATCAACTTTGTAGGTAACTATGTAGCTCACTTCAGTTAAGTCCGCCATATTTGTTTACGAAATTATCATCACTTCACGCAGTTATGGGTTATCTTTTCTTATGGTAGCGTGGAACAACTCATTGCAATAACTTTTTTTAAATGTAAGTTTAGTAATTTAAATCCTCACTCAAATATATGTTTTTAATAATGTCGTCCTATCAACTCACCAATTCATCCATGACCAAATCACACCTTTCAGATCTTATTGAACTAGCAGAGCTAGCTGGAATTCTCATACCGCATGACATCTTGAGGTAAATTTCCTTCAATCTGTTAAAGTTCCAAATTTTTATGCTGTTAAGAGCGGGTTATCTACGTTTCGTGCATGTCTGAGCACATGGATGCATAGCATCATGGATATTCGATTTTGTTAGCTCTGATGCCAATTAGTTCAATTGATGACTTGATGAGTGACCTCTGAAGAGGAAGGGAGTTCCAGCCATTTTTCTTCCAATGAGCATAATAATTTGAAAACTGGACCTTGGGTATGTGTAGCCAGTGAAATTGTTTCTAAATTTCAATGTACCAAAATTATTTAAATTACATTCTGGTACATACCCTACATCTGAGTGGATGTATTCAAGAAATGCATTCATGGGTGATTTCTTGATGACAGGAACAGCTAAAATGTGCAACACCTTATAAATGGACAGCATTTGGCAATTTTGAACTATAAATTCTGGCTCTTCAGGTAAAACACTTATGTGCACGGGGAAACTAATGGCACTTACGTTGGTTTTAAACCAAACTAGAATTTATAGTTCCAAATTGCAAAATGTAGTCTAAATATAAGTGCACCAATTTTAACAAAATTTCATTACCTCATTTTGAAGGTATTAAACTTCCCCTTTTCAACTTTGGCACGAACCATTTTGATGCAGTACAAAGTTGTTGTGATTGATAAACAAGCCATAGAATCAGGTATCAGCTGTTCCTGCGGGACTGCTGGGGGCTCATGCAAACCTGTCAAATTATGTCAGTTATGTAACTGATCCAGTGTAACCAATACTCGAAAATGCTTTTAAGTTTTCTAATTTTGGGGGCTTCCCTTTAGATTTATAATATTTATTTGAGGATTATGTGTCGTGAGGAAGTGGTGCCACACACCTTAAAATCATTGGTTTTTATAAAAATTAAAGTTTTTGTTGCCGAAAAAACTGACTTGTCCGTAATGGTTTGGTTGAAAAGACTTCAGCGAACAATTTGATAACAGCTTTGAAACTCCTGGCTTTATCTAGAGTACCTGTATAGCGAGAGTATAGACAGATGTGAAACTCCGAAAATCTATCAGGTCTTTACCGATGCCTCCGTGAATAAAGTTAGGGCCCAGAAATGCAGCCAACCTATGAATTTCGAATGTCCAGAGCAATTTACAAATACAATTGTTACGAACTGTCGTTTATAAAGCATGTATTTGGCTTACTTCTTGCCTAAATTTACTTATTTTTGCGAAAGAATGCTCATCTATGTACATCAAATTTTTCAGCATTGATAAGTTCAGGAACAACATTTCTGTTGATTTTTCAACTTGGTTTTCCATCGTTTGTAACCCACGGCAGCACGACTATTCCCTTATCATGAAATAATTCTTATGCCAAACGTCTACTTCAAATCATCCACACTTACTGCAGTAATAAGCCAGCTTCTCTCAGCTCTCAGTACCATCTCAGAGGAGGTTAATCGAAAGCCTTGTACCTCCGAGAGTGGTATGTGAAGGTTGCTTTGATGATCATCAGTTTATTACTTGTTCAGAGAGGAGTGGTACCTATGCTGAAGTTATATTTTTGCAAACATTCATGGCTTATGAGCTTTCAAGCCTGATCTCAATCAATCCTGTCCTGGAAGTTCCAATGTTCCTATATACCGTTTTAAAGTATGTACTACCGAAGGTTTTCATGTATCCAAAATTTGGCTGGCTAAGGGGATTCGACAGGGGTTCAAGTTGAAATCTGTGATAGGAGATCTCGTTACTGTCGACAGCACACTTAAAAGACTGGTGTGTATGAATTTTCGTGATTTTACCTATGTTGTGATAAACTTTCGAAAATCCATTGCAGTTTTTCAAATCTAGGGAAAAATAAGTTCGAGCCTTCTATTTGAGCTTCTTACCTTGCTGAAAAATTTCAGCTCAATTGATGCTAAAATAAAGCCGGAATCCTGCAGACAGCAATGGAACTGCTGAGCGAATGCGGGAGTTAGGCACGGTTCCAGGTGAAACTCTACAAAACTAGGCTGTAAGTTGAAATTTGGAAAATATCATTTTAAGCAAAGAGTTTGAGTGACCTACTGTAATATTTTTAGCTCAATCAATGCCCAAAGAATGCCCATGAGTGTATTTTCCGTAGGGTAGCGTCACAGTGGGGAATGAAATCATTTACCCTTCCCCTCTTGCCACAGATATGTTTCAAGAAACAGTTCCCCTTGGCTGATTAAACTTGACCCTGGATCCCAGTTATGATTTATACTAAATTCAGACCTATCTATTCCCTCGTTTTTACTTTCTCGCTCCCCTAGTAGTCCAGGCAATTGGGCATCAAATATGGGCTCTTGGGGAAAATTTCCCGGAAAACTTTTTGATGAGTGATTCCTATGTATTTTTGGACGCTGAATCTGAATTTCGCATTTGTGTATAGATCTTTTCGCCGCTAAAGTCGCCATTTTGAAAAAATGGCCTAAAAATGGCCTTAGGGAACGCTTCAACTTGACAGGAATTAACATGATGGGCAACAGGCCCATGTGAAATAATATTTGTGCAACTTTTAAATTACTGTATAATTAACCATTGCATTTAATTTGCCTGCATTGTTTCAGGATACTAATCGAACTGCTAGAATTTGGGCTTCACCCGTATGCTGTTAAAAGTTTACTGCGAGAAATCTACAGGAGCAGAATAGCGCCCAAGAGACAACCTGTCAAAGTGTAACTACACTTGGACATAGGATTCAAAACTTCACTAAAAAGTGAGTGTGTGGTTAATAAATCATAACTGAATCTACTCCAACCTGATAGTATTTAATAATATTTAAAGAATTTAGTGTTTTAAAATGAATCAGAAGTAGATTTACTCCAACTTAAAATATGTATTATGTCTCTTTATTGAATGAAAATGGAATGCATAAAAGTTGCATTTGTTTATATTGATTCTGTGTCAGATCAATCTTGCTGATTACGTCTAGCAGTACAAGATTCCGTCGATTTGATTCAAAGAAATGTTCCAATGAGATCATCTGTAAGCGTAATACTTTCAGGTCCCACTTCAGGTCAAAGTATGTCTCACCCAGACTACGATCAAACACCGCACGACCATGCCTGCTTGCTCGTTCTTATTAAACACCTTGGAGAAACCCTGACCAGCAAATCATTTTCCCGCCTGTTTGATAGAATCAGTCGTCTACATCATCACAAAATTTGTGACAGTGCTGGGATAACAAGGGACGTATATATTCGTTTTTCTAAAGAATATCCTGTGGGAAATAATGACTGGGGGGACTTCCAGACTCATCGAAGACTTTTAGGTCTTGTCACGATTGCTAAAAGTAAGTCCCAGATAGAGTTCAATGAAATATGTCGTTTGCACGAGTGTCTGAAAGTCAAGTATCAATCTACCATTATTGACTCCCGTTGTATCATGTTCGGAGTCAACACTCCTGCAACTCCTGAGTGCTCTATACCTGCAAACTTCAAATCACAAGCTCTTTATTTTCCTTCAGATATTGATGGGAACGGAGAGTTGGATGATAATATAACAGAATTTATCCTAGGGCTCTTTTGGATTCTTGAATCTAAACGCTTAGAAAGATGCCGCGAAAAAATTGATCGAGTTTCGCTTCTCCTCGCACCATTTGAAAAGAGAGATTTTGTAGGACTAGATATCGAATCACGAGGGAATAAAAAACGATGGCTGGGACGCATGACCAAGCACCTAGGTGACTTATCGTTGCAATGTGGTTTGCCGGCAGAGGCACTGACGTACTATCACTCGGCTGTTGAAACCCTTCGAAGTATGCATGATTGGCTTTGGCTGGGAGGAGCTGCTGAAGGCTGGGCTGCAGCGTCTGTGATTTTATTATTTCCTAGACTCGCCAAAGTCGTACCTGTCCAAAGAAATGCATCTTTGCAAGAAGGTAGCTCACCAAAATCTCGCTCCAATTCTGAGGATTTTAATCCATTTGGCAACTCACACAAGCCGCTCAGCGCAAGCACCATGCAAAATCTCCTTGGTTATGATGAAATATTGAAAAGTTACAGAGAAGCAATAATTCACTATAGTAAATATCAGAATGCAGGTGTTATTGAAACTGAAGCATGTTTCAAGGCTGCAAGGATTGCCGTAAAAGAAAACTCAGTACTGCAAGCTCATTCATTTCTTCAGAATATCATCCTCATCAATTTAACTTTAACTGAAGAAGAGAAGATTCAAAGATTAATGAGCTTGTCAAACCTTTACACAAACATAGGTTTTTTGAGGAAAGCATCGTTCTACCGGAGGCTAGCTGCCACTCGATATGTTTCCGTGAAAAATCCTCAAACGAACTGGGAACAATGTTATCAACTCATGTTGCAATCTTTACCTGGGTACAAACTAACACTTGATCCAATGGACTATGTGTGTGATAGGTTTAATGGCTGGCCAAGGATTCAGAAACAGGTCTTAAATGATCTTGTTGTTGCTGCTAAAAGGCTTGGTAACCCAGGTCTTGCCACCCGTCACATGACATTTCTCCTTCAAGTCATGTGGCAACATTTGACACCTCCAGAAAAGCAAGATTTCTCCCTTCAACTTCAAAAATTGACAGTTCAGTGTGAGGGATCTCCTGTCACTATTATTCTCGATTCGGGTCTTGTTGTTCCGCCTGCTAATTTACTGAATATCCCCCAGCTTGAGAGCTTTGTGATCCAAAATTTAAAACCACATCTGCGGCCAATTAAGCTTGAGAAAGTGAAGCATGATTTTGGCCCTTTTCTGTATACACCCCTCAGTCTTGGTTCATTGGAAAAGAAGTCAGTACAGTTGGATCAAAAGCTAGATTATTGCTGGGTGGCTAATGAACTGTGTGAAATAGTTTTAGAAATTAGCAACCCTCTTTCATTTGAGTTGGAAATTTCCAATATGTTGATCCTTACAAGTGAATTAGTATTTGAAAGTGTGCCTCTCTCTGTAACTTTGGCTCCAGATGCATCTCATCACAGTGTGACGCTAACTGGCACACCAAAAGAAGATGGAAACTTGGAAATCAATGGCTACTCAACTCATACACTTGGGGTCAAATCCAACTGCCGCCTTCGAAACATCCCCAATATTCCCCAAAATAATTTTACAATTCAAGTAATTCCCCCAATGCCAAGATTACAGGTTACAACATCTTTACCCCCTCTGCTTTTTAAATTGGAGCCGTCTGCTACAGTCACAATTTTTGCCGGCGAAAGAATGGAATGTTTAGTAACCCTGCATAACGAGGGGAATCAACCCATCGATCAATTGGATATCATCGTAGAGTCAATGCTAGATCCCAGTGTTCAGCAGCAAATGATCCACTGGGACCATAAAGGCTTAACAGGGCACCTACCACTCTTACCTGGGGCATCTGCAACCTTCCCGATTTCTTTGTATGGAGTAAATAATTTTCTGGCCCCTCATGGATTGAATCCCAACCAAGATTTCAGTGCTGGGAAGAACAGTTCAATGTCTGGCCCAAGTTCATTCCCATCCTTCAGCTACCGACAAAGTCCTCTTGAGAGGAGTACTCCACCATCAACTTGCACTGCATCAGTCAGATCTGGAGCAAGTAGCTTAAATTCTTTAAATTCTCAGTTGAACAAAGTAGGAGTAGATAGTCCGAGAAAAATTGAGTGCTATGTTAATCTTCATTATAGTGGTGGACCTGGACTAGTAGCTGGCTATTGCCGTATCACATCTCTTGTTATCTACATTGAAATTATACCATCAATACTCATCACCAATTGGGATGTACTTCCTGCCGAAACAAGCGAACAATTTTATCTCGTTTTGGATATCAGCAATATGACAAGTCAAGAAGTAGAGCTTAAGTATACCGCTTCCAAAACTATTCTTATCGAACAGTCAGAGTCTTGTCGAATTCCGATTCCTATTGACAGATGTCCCCTATCTCAAACTCAGGTGAATGACGAAGGTGATATGCTGAGTGGGAATCAGAAGTCATGCAACGAACATGTCACCTCCCACGTTTTGTTGGAATGGAATGTACCCACTGCTCTGCGGAAAGGAATGGCATCTTTGAATGGTATCATTCTCTCCCCAGAAATGCTGGACATAGTTCGAACATCTCCAATTGACTGGAAAGTAACTGTGAATTCTAAAAGTTTAAAACCACAGTCAGAATTTATCACACAGGTAGGAGAACTGTTGGAGTTTGAAGTCGCATTGCACAATTTACTCGGGCAACCTCTTCAGAATTTAGCTTTGCTTGTGCAGTTTTATCAAGATTATCAGAACGGAGTAATCAATAGTCAGCTGGACTCATGTCTTGCCATTGCAGGAACTCCGGAGACGAAATTCTGCCAAATTTTAGAATTCGGGAGCATACACCATGGATGTAATGTCATATTCTTCAGTGCTGGTCAGTACAAATTAAACATAGAATGCTGCTTTCAAGAAAAGTATGTATGGCGCTTAATTCCACCTCTTATAATAGATGTAAAAAACTAGGCAATGAATTGTCATCTATGACCTAAGAGTATTTTTTGTCATTCATTGCAGTCCTTTATTTGTTAATCTTCAGCCTGGGCCACATTTATTGTGTAATACTGTGAGAAAAGTATCTTGGTCTGATGGTGATTGTGAAAACTTTTTTTCTCCAGTTTCAATCTTTTATGGGAATTAAAATTATTCTTCATTTTTGTGTGTATGTGCATTTATACCATAATCCCCGAATTAATAAAATTATATTCATCTCTATCTCCACAATGTATGTAAAACTTTCCATGAAATTAGTAGTAAGCTTTTCGTTTAGATTTTCAAATAAACACTCCTCCTCATTGTTATTTATTTTTCTGGTTAATATTTTATTTTTCTACTTCTCATTAAAGATTATCAATGTAAAAATGTTGCTTGTATCCACTCAGGCATTGTTTTCTAATAAAACTTAAGATCTCTTGTGTTCTTTATTTGTTCTTTATTTTGTGGGTTTCTACATTTTCTGTCCTCTATTTCAGTTTCTTTGTCTCCGTTTATCATAAATTCTTCTGAATTATGCCATCAAGTACTAATATTCCTCGTTCATTTTGAAATCAATGTTTGATGTTAAATCCCCCGTGGAGATAGGCTCTTTATGGATGGGCCTAAAATATTAGTCTCTCAGTGCCAATCGTAGTCCAATGAGCTTGTTTAGTAATGTTTAATTCCTGCATTTCTGAAAACCAGAGGGTGCACAGAGTTCACAGGAATTATTGTCCTCGATTTTTTTTAACAAAATTAACCCCCGAAAAACGAGCCCAAAGTTGCGTATTTCGAGCTTCCATTTGAACGGCGGGTCACTAAAAATGGCCGCCGCAGAAAGCGCCCGTCGTAGAGTGCACCCAACGACTGCAGCGTTCTACAGCCCCTTGTAGGACATCGCGCCGCATCGCTTGCGGACTATACTGCCGTGCTAAGGAAGAACGCCGTATGAACCATCAGATTCAAACTGAGATATTTACGTTCAAAGTCCACGGCATACCTCTCCCAAGTAGCATTTTTCAACGGAAAAATCGCAATTTTATCGGCGATAAAATCGCGATTATCCTCGATTTTATCGGCGATAAAATCGCTAGGATCATCAACATCTGAGCGATTATCCTCGATCTTTTCGCGATTTTATCGGCCCGAAAAAATTGCGATTTTATCGCGATAAGATCGAGGATAATCACTCAGATGTTGACGATCCTAGCGATTTTATCGCCGATAAAATCGCCAAAAAAAAAAAAAGGGGTTTACGCTATTAGCCGATTGCCGTTAGGTTCAGCCGTCAGGTCGTTTAACGAAGACGAGCGTAAAATCCCCGGAGCCTCCGCGGGGATTCGAACCCCAGTCGCCACGGTGGTAGGCCAGCACTTTTCTACTAGGCTATGGCCGCTATATGATTCATGGGTGTGAATTGAAGTCTCTTATACATGGATCGGCGCTTCGCAACCTTACAACTTTTGTCATTGCGTTGACTGACACCGAGTTTGCATTGGATTTTTTTTTTTTTTATTTTCCCTCCTCCGTATTTTATTTCATACCTTGAAATACGGTTGGTAAAATAAGGTTCTGTTGGCAATCTCATAGTTCTGTCTCGGTAAAATTACCAATAATAGTGAGATGGCAAAGTTACCGATGGAGCTTGGTACAAACGCCAACATTTTTTATCGACTGTGGTAGAATTATCGAGATAAAATGGTAAAGTTACGGGGAATTGATTACCAATAAAAGTGGTACATATTCCTACCTGAAAAAGCAGTAAAAATACCGGTTTTTAGGTAAGCTTACCAATCTCCCTTGGTAACATTACCAATAATTGGTAAAAAAAGTGAGATGGAAAAGTTACCAACGGACCTTGGTAAAAACGCCGAGAATTTTTTCTTAGTGTGGGCGTACCTACCACCATTCAAACCCCCCGCCCAACCTTGTATCGAGTCGTTCTTACACCTCTGCTAAAGAACATCTTCCATAAGCGTCATTCATGCGTTATTGGGCGTTGATGAGAAATTTCAATTTTATCCCTACAAAACGTTCAATGAAATCGAAATTTTTTTGCAATTTATCGCGAAGAATCGCCGTCGATAAAATCGCGATTTTATTGCAATTTAATGCGATGAAATCGCAATTTATCGCGATTTTTTATCCGATAATATTGCATTAAATATGCATAGTCGATTAAATCGCGATACATTCTCCGATTAAATCGCAATTTATCGCGATTACTGCTACTTGGGCTCTGCGAGATTTGCGAATTTTAAGTTTTCGTCTTCTCCTATTGACAGCTTGATCCTTTGGCTGTTCATTAGTGCTTAGATCATTTGCAAAAAGATAATGACTTCCTGTAAAATCACAAAAGAATGAGGGTATGTCGGACTCACGGCAAACTGCCCGTGCAGGCAGGGTCCTTTCACTGTGCCGATTTTGCCGTGTGCCCATCCTAGTGGCGAGGACGCGTTTCCAACGCTGCCGGCTGCGGTATAGGGATTTCACCTCTTTCGTTTCTGTGAGGTTTATTTTTGCAGGAATCATTTAACCTATAACCAAGATCATTGACCGTCCGTGTTTTTAAGGTGTAGAGCTATTTTAAAAATTGAAATAAAAATTAAAAAGGGAAGACAATGCGAAAGTAACTGCAACTGAAGCGGGAGCTTCATATTTTTCTGTTTTATTTGTATGTTTCTTATTTGAATAAGGGGCATGTTAAATTGAAAGTTGGCCTTAAATGAAGAAAGTGAGTACTGCGCGAAAAAAATTGTGTTAGTGGTTAGTACCCCGTTAGCAAGATCGAGCTCCATCGCCGATTCTAGCGGTGGACGGTGCCAAAGCGGAATCGCTTATCCACGTAGAGGAGCGGCAGTGTAGCTAGAGATATTCACCCGTTTGAATGTGGATACCTCGCGTCGGACTCACAAGGGGAACTTACGGACCTGCCGCCTCCGATTGGGCTGAATTTTTTTTTACAGACTCCATGGACCAATTCTAGAGGTCGATTTGAGCCGTTTTCCCGAATGCGCAATAGGAAGGGCGTAAAAAATTCCCAAAAGTTGCGTTTTCGGCGTGTGATTTGGTCGCGCGGCGCGTGGCAACACTGAAGCAGCCTCTTGTACCGCTTTATCGGCCTGTAGGTTTCAGCGGAGACCTGAGCCCTACTGCACACGTGCTGGTCCCATGATAGTGATGTCCCGGGTTCGATCCCCGACTTTTTATTTTCCGCATGATCACGTAACATTTTATTTTTAATTCTTCATCCGCATTTATAAATCAAGCAGTTCCGATCACTATCCCACCCCCCTCATTTTACGTACATTTTCCCCCGATATTTATTCACATTG